AAATATACTCAGAAGATCATCTAGAGTTCGTCGACCACCCCACTATTTCAGAGACTACATTGTGGAATAAAACTTGGGGAGAATGTCATATATTTTATCGAGTTAGTTTGTATTCTTTTATTATCACATTGTATATTTGTCAGTATCTGCCACTTTGGCACTTTGTATTTGGCATACGTTTCGTTAAATAAAGCCTATAGTTTGCAAAGGTTTACTTTATTATAATGATCTCAAAACAAATAATCTATAATAAATGCGGATAAAACGAGGGGTAAAATAACAATAAATTAAGGGAAATACTTAAAAAGGGCAGATTTAAAGAGTATTATCACAAGAAACTATATCCGTTCTGTTTATTTATCAAGTATTGTTTGAGGTTACTTTTGAGTACATTTATTGTTTTTTTTTTTATTTCTGTAGGCAGTCTATTACATTTTTTTAAACCTTTAATAAAAATTCTATTTTAGGAACTTTTAGTGAAGACTTGCCGTACATGACAGTCAGATTGGTTTCTTGTATTATAGTTGTGATATTGCGAATTATATTGAATTTTTTCTAATAGATTTGATGCGATGGTTCTATGTCATTTTTATTTTATAAATAAATATCAGTCATGTACTGAACATAATTCTGAACTGAAAGCCAATTTATTTCTTTTAACATAGTTGCAATACTCATCCTTCTGTCCTTTATTAATAGAATATAAATAGGCGAAGTAAGTAGCCCAAATATTTTACATGAGCAGGTTCAAGTGGTAAAGGGGCCAATTATTATTGGATAAATTGCTCGAACAAAGATAAAATGTAGACAAATGCACAGAAATAAAAAACTGCTAATTTTGCAGATAGAACCTTTCTCTAGGACAGCAGTACAGATGTGCTCAAGTAGCTTGCTAAAGATAAATAACATGTTCATTTGTTACGTTTCAGTAAATTATATATTATATTACTGGACAATACACTATTTTGAAGGACATATACCTATGTCATTTAGCTGTATGTTTGCTGCACAAAATTAAATGCTGGACAGACTTTAAAAATACTGTACAATACAGCAAAATGCTGTACCTATGGTCCGCCTAGTGTAATAATATTTTTAATCACTAAAAATACATTTAAAAAATATATTGTAGGTTTCGTTTGTGCTGGATTATAATTCTAGTAAAAAACTTAAGAATTTTGGAAGCTAAAGTAAATAATACAGAATTGCTTAAAACATATTTTAATGATTTTCTTTTATTTTATAATAATGATATTTTTAAGACTTAATTTGTAATGTTGATGAAAATTTGCCTTGTATTATTTTGCGCTAGTCACTTTTCCTTTATAGGTATTTTTTTTGTACCTATTTATATAGGTTTTTTTTTATGTAGTTTAAATTTCAATGACTCATCTCATGGTTGGGTTCCATTTAACGTGAATATTATAAATTGATATATAATAAAACTGATTGTTTTTATCATCAATTTCTTCTGGAATCTTTTATTTTACAAAAACAAAACAAAATTAAATAAAAATTACTTGACAATGTTTTCTTTAAATACATACCTGTCTTTATACCTAGTTGGAACAAGCCAATATTACTTATATTTATTAAAAGTTGATAATTCTTCAAACTGTATTTAAATAAGGATTAATTATTTAAAATTATAACATCAATTCTTCAAAATCATCGATGATTCTTTAAACTATTCTAAAATGGTTAAATCTAAAAAAATACATTAATTTAAATCAAGTTGTACCACTATCTTCATCTATCGAAGAATAGATAAAATATTAGTCTTAAAAGGGGAGAAACCTTTTTGTGCTAGACGAAAAGAAGCTGCTAATAATTCCACAAATGTTGGAACCGTTTTCGTTATTTTGACACAAACATCTCTACTCAAATGTCATTTGTCGTTTATGCATTGTGTCAAAAGTTCCTAACATTCGATTTGTATCTGTCAACGAATCAAGTTATTGGCCGTCTGATTTTGTAAGGTAAATTTGAATACCGATATATTGTTGAAAATATATATTTTATACAAAGATTTCTTAATTAAAATGTCAAATATTGAACATAACCTCAATACATGAATAACACGTTTTATATAATTTTATATATTATTTTGTTTGGAAGAGAAATTATGCTTTACTATATTTAAATATATTAAATAAGATTTTTCCTTTTCATATTAATTTTAGTCTGTGTGAAATTATTCTCATATTTTAAATTGTTCAATTATTAGTTAAAGGCATTTTATCTGGTTCCTTCGCAAATTTCCTATTTCCTTTCTTAACATGTTTACCTTTTCCTTTTAGCGTGGTTATATCTAGACGGTTTAATTCGAGTTATATCTAAAGAAGTTTAATTCGAGTTATATCTAAAGAAGTTTAGTTCGAGTTGTATCTAAGAAGTTTATTTCGAGTTTTATCAAGAGTTATATTTAAAGAAGTTTGGTCCCATCCAAAGACCGAGGTTTGGTTCACCTATAGAAGATCGTTTAAGTCCAGCATTAAGAATAAGAATCCCTTTGAAGAAGGCCTAATATACCATGCATATCACCCCAATATAACTACCTCCTGTTATAACAGATTTTTTTATTTTTGTTGAATAAATCATCTAAATTTGAATTAAGTGAATCTCTGTGAATTAGAATTTGTTACTAGCTTATCTAAAACTTTGTTGAAATATAATATCTTAATGGTTCGTGATTTTCTATATTTTTATCACTAATTTTTAGTCGAGTACAGTAGATTTTAAATATAGTGGTGCCCAACTTCTTTTTCAAGGTAATTCGAATTATTTAACAACCTGACCCACTCCCAAAATCAATTGAGCTTAAAACACTATAACAAATAGATAAAATAACAAGTACCACGTTACAACAAATCAAATTAAATTACATTATAGAATTATTGTTTATGATTATGTCTCAAAACTTTAAAGAAAAATGTTCTTTTTCAAACTATTATACCTATTTCTTTGGATATTTTCAAAGTAAGTATTGCTAGTCTCACATTATCAGATATTCCTTTTCTTTCTGTGGCATATTACATAATTTTCCATTTGTAGCTTTTACCATGCAAAATCAGATTTGTTTTGTACACAAATTCCGAAATATATCCTAGTGCTTTATATGAATTTTCAAGTCAATGGAAGCAATACCGTTTTGCAAGGTTCCCAAAGAAAAGTTCAATTCTACCAAATTAGTCTACTTAATATTGTTTAATTAGTTAAAACGGGATAAATTTGATTTATTTACCGTTTCTGAAGTTCTCGTTCATCCATTTACAAAAAATCTTCCATGGGAAATTGTTTGAAACTTTTTTTAAATCTTTTGGCTTTATTTTTCAAACCAATTTTTTTCAAAAACCTTTTTCCTGCTAATTTCAAGATGTCTACCTCCCTTATTTATTTTTCCTAGCAACCGTCGCTAATCAAAAAATAGTATAGGTATTACATTACGAGTGTGGAAAGTGTCATTTTTTACACGAGTGGGAAATATTGTCGCACGAGGACAAGCCGAGTGCGACTATCACACGAGTGTGGAAAATCACTTTTTACACAAGTGATGTACAATATTTTTCCTACGACCACAAAATAATTTCATCAAAAAATGTAAAACCAGGTTATAATTATAATAATTAAAATGTATTTAAAAAAATAATCAACAATAATCGTATTTATTTAATTTTCATATTTTCTAAACAAAAAAAAATAAAAACAAAAAAAATTAAAAAAAATCTGGCCCGGCCAGGATTTGAACACGGTCGCTCGCCAGGTCTCAAATGGTAAAGTTGGTAAGTTTGACACTGTAAATATCTGAGCTAATAGGCTTTGCGTCAATTGAATGATCTAATCGGTTATGTGTTTAACCAGAATAAAAAGAAAATATATCTTAGTTATTTTAAAATTATTTTAATAATAATTATTAAAAATAAATATCTAGGATCTAATTTACAACAATTTCAATAATTTAACAATCATATCGATTTTAGTACTAATAGGGCATCACATAGATCAAAATAAAAATGGTGTGTTTGACATTTTGTGACAGCTGCTGCGGAAAGTACACGGGTGGAAAGTAAATTCTTATTCATACGCGTGTGATATAGGGCATTTTCCATAGGACTATATAGTGTGATATATGTCACTTTCCTAAGTGGTCGTAGGAAAAAATATATACCTGATTACCTTTCCTAGGTATGTAAAGTTAGCACAACAATCTTAACACAATTAATCAAAACCTTATCTGTAATTATGGGCGAATTATGTGCAATTATTGTGCGCTATTCACGATTTTTGTGCATTTATAGTTTTTTTGTAATTAAATATTAACATTAAGTTAGCACAACTTTTTATTATTTATCAAGTAATTTTAATTTTCATAACACCATAATTTTGTGCGTTTTTTGTGCAAATTATGTACGGAATCAAAAATAACTTTGGTCAAATATATTCTTTTTAATTAAATATTATGCCAGCTTAATGTAAAGTTAGCACAACTTTTTATTATTTATCAAGTAATTTTAATTTCAATAACACCATAATTTTGTGCTTTTTGTGTGCAAATTATGTGCGGAATCAAAAATAAATTTGGTCCAATATATTCTTTTTAATTAAATATTATGCCAGCTTAATGTAAAGTTAGCACAACTTTTTATTATTTATCAAGCAATTTTAATTTCAATAACACCATAATTTTGTGCATTTTTTGTGCGGAATCAAAAATAAAGAAAAGAAAGGAATTACCAAAATAAAAATTCAGACAGACGCCCATGGACGCTGACATCATTCTAAAAAGTGGTTAAGCTCTTAGGTGTTCTTTTATTTATTTTAATTTGATCCAGCATGCTCTTTTAAACGTGTCTGCATTAATATGGATGAAGACCAAAGTCATAAATGATAATTGTATAGGTGCATAATATAATTAAGAACACAGACAGAAAGAATAGTAGAAAAAAGAAAATAGAGGTATTGAACATTCATAGCAGTATTTGAAACTGTTTCTTTTTTACCTGTAACAACCATATCCATATATTTCATGCCAACCAAAGCCTCGTACGTTAGTTTATTATTGCAGTTTTCTGATGTTTCTTCTATTTCTTCACGAAGTCTGTTTTGAATATCTTGATCCACGCAAAGTTCATAGGCCAAAAAGCACATAAGAGTTGAAACTGAATCGAAACCAGCGAAGAAAAATATCAACGCTTGTGCTATTATTTCTTCATTCGTAAGATTATGGTTGGCTAAACCTATAAAAAAATAAATTCAGATAATAATAATATGAATAAACGTTTTAATTATATTAAAATTGTATTTGTGTTATATACATTTATCTTTTTTATTATAATCATAAAAATATTCTAAAGGTATATAAAATAAATAGATGGAGTTATAACAAGAGATACTAGGTATAATACTGAGAGTTTTGTAGATGACTTTATGGTAAGGGGCAAAATGATCTAACAGAAATCACTTATAGGATACAGAATCAAAAAATGTCCCTTACAAAATAACTTTTCCTAGTGCCATTATTTATAATTAATAGAAATCTAAATCTTAAGAGTTTTCAAACTTCATGGCACTGATAGTCGATGGAATTGGTACTTTTTGCCTTACATTAAATGAGGTAGTTCTGATTTTTTTATATGTTGGTAATGATGAGATGGTAATGACAAATCCAAATAATATACCTCAAAAGCCCTTCGGATCAGTGTTAAATACTAAAAAAACTTTAAATTTTAGGATTTTTTTTAGTTTTTATCAATTTTTACCACCAAGGACCAATGTTACGGCAAAAGTTATTATGCACACTTTTTAAGTAAACTAAATTTGCAATAAAACAAGAATAATTTGGTTTTGGTAGGCCAAATAGTTTATAAGATACGGCTATTTAAATGTTTGCAAAATTTAAAATAAAAAAAGGAATTATTACTTTTTTTTAGTTTTCGACAGTTTTTACCTCTTAGGAGTGGGTTTATGGGAAAAGTTTATTTTCTAGTCATTAAAGTCCACTAAATTCCCAACAAAATGAGATTAATCATGTCAATTTACACCTGACAGTTTCTGAGACACAGTTGTTCAAAGTTGTTGAGGTAAGTAAACAATTATGTACTAGAAGGGTTTGCAAAATGAAGTACGCCCTGTTAGTGAAATAAGCATTATAATTTATTAAAACAGTTTACTAATTAAAACATTAATATGAATAATGTAATAAAACGCCTCATTGTATTTTATGTACATCACAATTAGGGAAATAGTTATTACTCTCATTTTTTGTACATTTTTGTTGGACCGGGCTCATCCTCTGAATCTACAGCACACCTTTTGAGGGCAGCTTGCTGAGGTATAATTTCTTCATCGAACTGCTTAGGAAGGTCGAAATCGTCATTTGATGATGTGTCATCAATGAATGGTTCATCAATGTCGTCACACGTCATGTCTGATATGTTCTCGCAAGAATGATCAGTGCAGTATCTGCAAACAGCCAAGCATTTTAGTCATGCTTTCTTTCAACCACAACTGCTGATTGAGGAGCCCCAATCGAGAGAATTCTTCTCAAATCTCAGCCACTTCTGTACCTGAAACAAAATCAACAACAAAATAAAGAACCATGAAGAAGGAATGTGGTCTGAAGCAGAAAGGAATGCAAGCAAAAAAATTATTTTCTTTTCACCTGGTGGTATATTCGCAGAGTGAAATCTTGCAGCATCCCTGGTTGGAAGCAATCTGCCGCCCTAGTAAACAACTGGAAGTGAAGAACGTTAAGATTTTGTGATTCTCTGTTGCCTCCATAAAGTGAAACGAGGAAGGTCTATCCTGCGTCGGCAACGTGCTTAGGTGTGACATTGGAGCTCCAGGAAACCTTTTGCGTTTTGTTCGAGGCGTGGCTGTTTTTCCTTGGCCAAAGGGTGCTGATGTTACAACCGCTAAACCCGTGAAGGAACAGTGCTATTCCGGGTTGTGATAATTGTGTAAAGGAATTTGTAAACTAGGTGACATCTGGGTTTTTTCCTCTCCTACATTTTACAAATATAATATTGTTAGTTGGTCTGTTTGTTGGAAGCATGTGGTCTCCTTCATGTCGTGACAAACCAAAAAGTAAGACCAACAAGTCTATTTCCTCGCCGACGATCTTCACTATTTCGTAGAAATAAAATATGGAAATGGCTGTAGTTACTATTAACCTATCAGCATCTTCCTCTGCCTGTAATGTTAGAATTTTGTTCTTCTCCAAGTGAACCTTCTGCATGTCTAAGAGTGTAACTTTATTCCTGTCATTCAATAGGAACTTGTACTGAGCAACTGAAGCAATGGTTATTTCATCGTTAGACGGATAGCTATTTAAAACTACAGTTATATTTGAGACGTAGTGATTTTACAAGTATTGGACATATCTTCAAAAGACGCATTACGAGGCTACACTACTTTGTGGAGCAGATGTCCACCGTCTACAACTACGTGCATATCATTCCTCTGTTGTATCTCATTCAGACTTAGGATTGAAGGCTGTGTAGAATAATGACTTGTACCCTTCCTGATTCCATCTTCATTAAATGATGACATGGGAAAAAAGGAAGGACTTTTTCGCAACCAAGCCAGCGTACGGCAGTATGATTTATGGTAAGTCATGTTTTCCCATCTCTTCAATAAACTCGCGGAATTGTCAGTGATTCAGCACAGTGGATCTGATGAAATTAACAACTGATATAACTTGTTTTAGAACTTCAAACGTATTCAAACATTTTCCGCATTAGGACTGTTGATGATTGATAAAATGTAAGACTAATGGTTATTTGAACAACCATCATTTTCTACAGTCTTTGACACAAGTGCAACCGCTCCTTTATTTTTATCACACATGTTTTTGCATCCATCAGTTGTAATGGATTTCAAGTTTTTCCATCGAAGATTCTTTTTATTAATGGCATTTTCAACTCCCTTAAACATATCTTCCCCAGTAATCGTGCCATGAATACTGTCAATAGCAAGAAGTTCTTTATACACTTCATAGCTTTTATCTACTTCTCGAATAAAAACAAAAACACCTGAGCAGTATCTGACTCATCTGTTGATTTATTCAAGGCCAGATAAAACCACTCCAGATGTCCATTTTTGTCAGACAGTTGAGATGTTATATTTTCTGCGATGTCTTGTACCCTCCGAGTAACGGTGTTTGCTGAAAAACTGACAGTTTTAAATAAATTTTCCTCTTCGGAGCACATTTCTTCGGCTACTGCAATAATTGTGAAAACAACAGAGTCACAATAGAACAGAAAATAGAACAAACTGCAATAGAAACGACGAAACAAATAACCAGAACCGAGGTTAACACAGTCCCAACATAAGAGATGGTTATACCGTCACCCGTTTTAAAAAGTGCTTTAACAGTTAAAATGGGGGTGGGTTGGCTCAGTGGTTGGAGTCATGATATTAAGATGGAATGGTCTCAGGATCGAACCCCATCGGTGGTAGCAGGGATTTTTATTTAATAAAAAAAATATTAATTCTAATGCATAGGTAGGATTCCCCATGTGACCATTCACTGTTGGGTTCTACTTAACAGTGCTGTTCCTAAAGTGGCACCTGGAAACAGTAACAAAACATGCACAGAACACGAAGCTAATAATCGAAGTAGTTAATGCCGATTACACCATGACGCCATGATATAAAAAAAAATAGTAAAATAGGAAGGTGGAAGGGAAAATCTAGAGTTTAAACCGATTCGCCAGAAATGCAAAAAATAGAAAGTGCTATAAGAAGAAACAGAATTAAAAAATGCTAAAAGGGATATCTTTCGGAAAGCCTCTGGTAAAAGAGAACGAGATGTATTAGAATGTAATAGCCAAACAGAAAAGGGAATCAGCCACTGCCACTAAAGAAACAGAAAGAAACATTAAAAATGTTGAAGAATCTAATGAAAAAAGCGATGTCGACTCTCTTTTGTCACTTTATTCTGGCAGCAGCATGGAAGCAAATTCTCTTACAAATCCTCTGTTGTATATTATGTTGGCAGAATTCAAAAAGTGGAATATAATTAAATTCAAATAAATTTGTATTATCCTGAAGTGCTGTTTTGCCCAAACCAATTCTTGTAAACAAATACTACAAGTTTGATCTTCATTTTGATAGTTAAAATTTAAAACAATTGTTTTTATACTACAGTCTAAATGACTTTTTATTAGATTAAGCGAATATTTGTGTAAAAACATAATTTTTCAATTAAAAATTAAATATTTCTTTCAAATTTTATAATGTATCAAAGCTGCCCCACTCAATATTTTACAAAGTCAAATCTACCCCACTATGGGGGAGATTTGTCAAAATACACGATAACACCTAATTCAGTATAATCTAGTTAAATTAGGAAACTGAGATATGTTATCATCCTCCTTAAATTCTTAACCATTTTAACTGTCTATTTCAGTTTTTTAAACAAAAAACCCGGTAAATTGTAATTTCTGGTGGATAGAGAATTTTTCATGTCAAATCTACCCCGCCTTCCCCTACTGTTTTTATTCTTAAATTTATACTTTTCTTTAAATTCTGGACATTAAATATTACATTTTATGTGAATTAAAAATTACTCATAAAACATTAATTTTTATTGTTATAAAAAAAAATAAATCACCGAGATTTTTATAATTTTAGTACCTTCAAGATGTTCTTCGACTGTTGCAAATCCAGTGTCAGTAACATTTTCTTCGTTTTTCTGATTTCCTTTCCGTGCTTCCATCAACAAATGGATCATATCTGGTCTTACTATCCCCTTTTCTTCTCTTAATTTGATTGTATCTTCAATTAGTTTCGTGAAAAATTTGGCTACACCATCAGGAATAAATTTAATTTTAAATACCTACAAAATGATAAACACTGCAATTCCTTTCCTTTCCATTATATAATTTATAATGTTAACAGCATTGTCATTAACTACCGTCTAAGCTAGACCAATGCCAATTAGTTATAATAAATTGATAAATATTATATTACCAAAATTTTAGTAAATAATAGCTAACCTTTGAAATTGTAGGACACATCATGGTGAAGAAAAGCCTTATCATTGTAGAGAATTTCCTAAGATCTGTAAAGATTTGTCCATATCTGAAAAACTCGTTATCAGGATGTTTAAATGAATCAACTTCTGTACCAAAGGCGCTAGAAGCAATAACATCATTGCAGAATCTGGAAGATATGTCTTTCATTTCGATTTCTATTAGGTCCTCATTCTTATTTAAGAAATACTCAACAAAATTTTGAGAATATTCAGCCATGAGCTTGAACAATATCTTCATTTTGCTGCTAGTAAAGGCTGGACTAAGTGTTGATCTCATGATTCTCCATTCGTTTCCTGAAAATAAAAGTAATATATCTGTAAAATGTGCACTACGATTATTATTATTATATGATATCTGTGGCTAGAGGGCAAAAGGGAATAAGTCGATTTTTTCGCAAAATTGAGTTAAGCATACCATTTAAAAGCATTTTTAATCCTTTATTATCCTGAAAAAACAATATAAGTAAAAAGTTTTTTAGTAAACAGATTTTTATTTGATAAAGGGGATAGATATCTCGTATCTAATTAAATATTAGCCACTGACAACAATATAACTTGAGATAATTAGCCGACAGAAAAAGAACGTTTACTATCAGAAGGTTATATGTTTACATATCTATAAAAACATATTTTTAGTTGAAAATGCAAAACGGTATAAATCAATTTAAATTAGAAACTATCACTATTGTTTTACTCGTAAAAGGGAATAACATTATTGTGCAAATATGTGCTGCGATATATTGAGTTATTTCCTTTTACTAGTCTACACTGCATACGAAACCCTCAGAAACCAATTTCTTGTCAGTTTTTGTCTAGATCTTGAGCAGGAAATACATAAAAACTCTGTCTCCACAATTCAAAATTATTTAAATATAAGCAAGAGAACTAAACGTTTGTTATCAAAATGTGCATCAGACTATGATTATGGTAACGATTACTCATCTAATAAAAGTAAGTTAACTAATTATACATAAAACTGTGTATAATAAATTTATTTTTCTTTAGCAAATATTAATTTAGATAAAAACAAGAAAAACCTCAATCATAACGAACACGTTCCTCTTTATGATGCAGAAACGAGTAAGTATATAATAACACAAAATAGGTTTTCGTGTCCTTTTATCATTTTTTACCTGTAAACAGAAACCAGAAATCTACACCAAAAATAATTTTAAATAATATTCATATAAATTTTATATTTTTTTTATTATTTTGATAGTCCACTCGATAAAAACATTGTATTTTTAAATAATAAAATAATACGAGACAACTATTGGGATTACCTCTTACACTTTAACTTTATTTTAGATTTTTTCCCATTGTTAGTAATGAGACTAAAACCTCTGCAAATTATCTTCATATGTATAAAGTCAAAAGTCAGTACAGCCGCTATGAATGGGGAAATGATAGAACTAGAAGAATATTGAGAAAAAAATTATACTGCACGGAAAAAAAATTGTAGAACAAATTTCTACAATTATACATTTTTTCTCTACATTAAATAGTACATATAGGGACAGGGACAATTTGTAGTAAAAATTTCCAAATATTTTTAGAGAATGTATTGTAGAGTTATTATCTACAATGTTTAGTAAAAATATCCAAATGCATCCTAAGAATTGTTCTACAAATTGTTATAATTTTTGCTATTCATTGTATGAATTTATATTAAAAATGTATTGCGTTTTATGAAAATAAATACGAAAATTTTACACAATAAATAGTAAAAATTCATACAAATTGTAGTAATTTTTAATAAAATTTGTAGCAGTATTTTATAATTATTATAATTATAACCTAGAAAAAATGTTCCTTAATAAAATATTCAAAATTTATTTAATTAAAAAGATACAAAGTCATAATTACATTATATAATAAATAACAGTAATAATAGTGCCCTCAGTATTAGTTGGCTTTTCTGCACCTGAAAAATATGAAATAAAAATTAATACCTAATGAACTGTTCATATCCTTAAAACGGGGATATTTATCACCTTTACACTGAGTTGGATATTAAAGTCAGATAACTAACAAAAATGAGAAAGTAGGTATGTCACAATTAAGACAAAAAAACATAATTGAACTTGGCACAACATTCGATCGTTGGGCACAACATTCGATCGTTGACCACAACTATTTTTTTTCAAATAATCTACTAAGGTTATTTAAATTAGTTATCTAAACATAAATTATTCAGAAATAATAATAAATGTACTTACCACTAATAGAAGTTATTATTAAAATTTTCTCAAACGCATCGATGCTTATAATATAATAATGTGTTATAGGTACTCGTATATGTACCATGCTTCATTTTGTGAACATGGCCATTTATGATCGACCTCAGAAAACGTTGGCCAATAGCAGAATTCTGTTTTATTTACATGACTTAGAATTTCTGCAATATTATAGAATATTTTTGAACAAAATTGATTTTTTTTCATAAGAAGGGATGTAAAGTATTACTATTTTTTGTAGAGAAAATTACTATTTTTTGTAGAGATAATTATTAATATTTGTACAAATTTTTACAGAAGTTAGTAGTAGTAATTACGATAATTGTAATAAATTTCTACTTCTTCAAACAATAGTAAAATATACTAAACATTGTGGACTTCTTTCCTATTATTGTAGCATTTTATTCGACAATTCAATTGCTACAATAATGAATAGTTTTTAACTATAAATTGTAGTAAAATTTTCTACAAATAGTTAAGAATTTTTCTACAAGTCTACTACTACAATATTGTAGTAACATTTTCTAGTCACATTTTTTTCCGTGCGTTTTTAACAAATGGTAAATACACAGCACAAAAATTGTTTATTCTCAATAATTTTTACACTTATTTTCAGTACATGAAAATCTGCAATATGAAGCTTTTAATTCTAACGAGAGCATTAAAGATCCGGATTATGACCATACGCAAGAGGCCGATGACGACTGTGAATCTGATGGTAAGGAGCAAGAAATAACAGAATTAGATGACACAAACTATGATAAACAGGACGAATTTCGAAATCAAACCTACAAAACTTTTAAAAAGAAAGTTGGAAAACGAGAAAATAGAAAGGCCTTAAGGTGATTACAGCACCCACTCATAATTTTCGGACAAGGATATCTCAAAAAGTAATTTTTTTAAAAAATAAAAATTTTGGAAAAATATATTAGGCAATAATATCTAGAATATGCATATATTTAAAATTTTTAGTTTTTTCCAGTTTTCGAGAAAAAAATCAAAGGGCTTTAAATTTTAAAATATTATAATGAAAATAAATGCATTCCTCAACAGCACTATTTTTAATATAATCCCCAAATTTAACTCTTAATCTCTTGTTAATGATTTTTTTAAAATTCGCCGAAATTAGTGGCTAAAACTCCTCGTTAAGTGCTGCTTTCTGGTGTAACGTGTCTGTAACTATCGTATCGTACATTCTAAGTCATCATTCGTTTCTTGCAACGATTTACACCAGTTTACACCAGAAAATAGCACTTAACGAGGCTTTTTAGCCACTAATTTCGGCGAATTTTAAAAAAATCATTAACAAAAGATTAAGAGCCTAAATTTGGGGATTATATTAAGAATAGTGCTGTTAAGGAATGCATTTATTTTCATTATGATATTTCAAAATTTAAAGCCCTTTGATTTTTTTTCTCGAAAACTAGAAGGAACTAAAAATCTTAAATATATGCATATTCAAGATATTATTGCCTAATATATTTTTCCAAAATTTTTATTTTTTAAAAAAATTACTTTTTGAGATATGCTTGTCCGAAAATTATGAGTGGGTGCTGTAATCACCTTAAGAAATATTGGTAAAGAATATTTAATCGACAAAGGCAAAACAATTAGAGCCAGGCAGCCTAGTTCATTTAAAGATAAATGCAGAAGAATGTGCAAGGACAAAATAAGTGAGGAAAGTAAACTTGCTCTTTTTAAAAATTACTGGGAAATGGGAAACTATGACAGAAAGATAAGCTATATTTCTTTATTAATTCAGATTTCAAATAAAAAAAAACTTTTAAATACTTTATAGAAATACGAGGAGACAGAATTCAATGTTGCAAGGAATGTTTTTGTGCAATTTTTGATGAAACTAATAAATTTATAGCAAGCGTTACTAGCAAAAAGCTATTGTCTGATTCTGGTATTTCGTTGCTGATGGTAGAGGCAACCATGAGCCCAAAAACAAAATTCCCATATCTGTAATGCAACATGTCTATGACCATATGACCGTATGAGTCACATTACTTCAGAAAACATAATTCTAAAAAGTACCTAGTAGCAGACTTAACGAAAAGTAAGATATATAGGTTGTACACTCAGGAAGTACCATCTAACCTAAAGTTTATTTTGAAGCCATCGACGCATTAGGCTTGAAATTAAAAAAAAACCAAGCAACAATACATGCAAAACTTGTGATATCTTTCAAAATAAGATTCTAAGTTGTCAAGATGCTGATGCAAAAACAAATTTCCAGCAGCTGCAAGAACATTAGCAGAGGAGCCCACGATGCTAAATGGGGATTTACTCGAGCGTCATAGAGACCTATTGGGTTGCAAAGCTTAGATGATAAGAAGAAAAAAATTTCATATAATACATACCTACCTTTTCATTGGTGGGGGAAGCGGCTATAGATTTTTAAATATGTAAAAAAATACTGTTGCATGGATATACTCGAGCGCGTCAGTTATTGATAGCAATATCTTACATACTTTTAATAATGTACGAATGTTAATCTGATCGTTTGCATGATGCGGGTGGTTGTACGTAAGGGTTGAACATGAAAAAAAAAATTAATCAAGCGTGTCAGATTTTCAAAGGGGGTGTTAAGTGAACCAAAAAAAAGCTCTCATTCAATTTTCTGACGATTTCGATGTGATGCGAACTCGCGGCCATTATTATAATGTGCAAAAAAATTCGCCAATTTGAAATACTCAAGCGCGTCAGATTAAGATATATAAGGTTCATCTTTATGTCCTAGACGTGCTGTATCATAATCTGACGATTATATAGAGGGATTCGCCTAATCTGACAAAAAAAATTTAAATAATTGAACTTAGTTGAATCTTGTGCCTAACACTTGCTGGAGTAACTCCAATTCACTGGGTGGAAAATTGCACGCATCGTAATTCCGGACACTCAAGGAGAAGGGTTGTGATTTGTCTTTTACCTTGTACGTCTTATTGAAGATGACAATCCTGGCTTGATTGACATTGTTTAACTTTTTCAACCCATACAAGTGGCAAGTAAATCCTTCGCATTATGCTCCTTTGATCCCAAATCCAGAAATGCTACTTGGAAAATTTATGAATTCATCAGAAAATGCAAAGGATTTTTTTCCCTCGTCGCATGCAAAGCTGGAAGCGCCTTCGAAATTTGTGGGCCTAATTTTTTGTAGAGAGCGGATACGTCGATGAATCGGCGTGCATTGCTAACTCCAAGATCCATCTAAACTTCTACTCTTGCTTGAAGGTGTTCCATATTCGCTAATATGATGACCACTCTGTCAGTATCAGAAGTTCTGATAGAAATAGAAACGCGGAGAGCGAAATATAGACATCACGAAGCTGCACGCATTAAACTTTATCGACGAATATTTGTTATTTCGGCTTGCGGAAATCGTCAGATTATATACTTTTCGTTATCCTTGAATTATTTCCTTCCAAATAAAAAAAGATTTAGCTACGCTCGAGAATGTCGAGATGACGTTTTTTTATTACAACTGCCCTCCCCTTTCCATACGTCACTCTCAAATTGTCAGATTAGTGGAATATACACTTTTTAGCATGTAATTAACTCACCCTACCATAATTTCACGCGCTCGAGAATTTCTGATAATCAATTTTTTTTTACTAATTTGATCCTTTATCCTTCACGGGCGGCCTTAAATATGGGGCTCATATTTGGTGGAGGTACTTAACTGGGTACAAGGTATCCCCCTGTATATTAATCCCGAAATTACCGCTTGGGCTCCCCTATTACATCATGATGAGGCTGAAGCTGCTTATGAAACAAAAAGAATTGTCAAATTAACGTGCTCAGACAGAAAGTCAAAAATTACTTGTATTTGATTTACAACAGGTTTTGCTAACTCCGTATTTAACAACTGGCACTGTATTTTATAAAAGACAATTACATACATACATACAATTTAACTATTAGTGATTGCTCTGAGAAGGTATCAACCCATTTCATGTGGCATGAAGGTATCGCAGGACGCGGAGCTAATGAGATAGCTTTATGTTTATTTGCATTTTTAAATAGTTTACTACCTGAGATTGAACACGTTATTTTATACAGTGACACTTGTGGTGGACCAAACAAAAATTCTTTTGGGGCTGCAATGTTACAATTCTTTTAACTAAAAATAACAATTTAAAAGTAATTGATCACAAGTTCTTAGTCCCTGGTCACACCCACATGGAATGTGACGTAAATCACGCGACAATTGAAAAGTTTAAAAAACATTGTCCATTTCCCATTCATGTACCACGTGACTGGTATAATTTAGTTAGATTAGCTGGCAACAAAAAAAACATTACTAAGAAAAGAAAAAGAAGAAACACATGAAAACAATAAAATAGAAAAAGACAAATTTATAGTAGTTGAAATGGCCCAAGAGAAGTTTTTTGACTTTGAAAGTTTATTAAAAGGAAAACTGATAAAAAAAAACAGAAACAAAGAATGTGGTTTGCTGGAGAAGCATGAAGTGGTTAAGATATACCAAAGAAATTGGAGTTATTTTAAAACTTCCTTGCAGGAATATGAGCCGTTTCAGGAAATAAATTTTAGAAGACAAAAAAGAGAAGCTATAGACATTGACAGTATTACACTGGATAATTTATACAGTGAACCAAGACAAATAAATGCAAAAAATCTGAAGATCTGTTGGTCCTTTTCGAATTAATTGATGATAGTGCCAAAGAATTTTATCGTGGACTTCTTAAACCCCAAAAAGATTCCCAGAATCCCAACGATATTACAGACACCGATCCGGATATAGATTATTAGTTTACAGATGAGGAGCTTTAATTTTATGTAAAAACTTCAAAAATAAATTGTTTCGTTTTGTTTGTTAATACAGTTATTCATAATAGAATATGTGCTTTATTTTAGAGACAATAACTCAAGTTGTAACCAAATTTTAGATTATTGTTTATTAAAATACTAGCAAGAAAAAGGATACATCTTAACCTAACTCCTTTTGCAAAATATACTATTAATATGCTTTAAGTACAACTAAAGTTACTTTTACCTTTTTAACAAAATATAAAATATTTAATATTTAATTTATTTTTAATTTTTTCTAAAAAAATGGTCACATTAGTTTTGTTTAAAAAAAAAAAAAAAATAGAAAAATTATAAAATTGGTAAGGACAGTTTTTAAAAAAACAGTTACAGCTCTAATATAAACAAATATAAATAAATAAATTCTTTATTCATCTATCAAATGTACAGATGTTTGAATACACAATAGAACAATACAATATATAGCACTTCCATTTACAACATATATCTAAAATTACTATTATAAGAATAAAAAATATTTATATGTAAATCTAAAATTAAATAAAAATGATAAAGAAATCTGCAGGAATTCTTCTACAGAATAAAACGCATTTCCAGCTAAATATGTAACACGTTTGGGTTTAAAAACATTATAACTACTATTACCCAAAAGCCTAGTTGTATGATTAAAATAGATGATGCCCTGATAACCTGCAGAATCCTGCCCAATTGTCAGCCGTGAATATGGCAGTCTTAAGTAATTGCCTCTCTGTGTGTTGTGTTCGTGAATCATGTTATTTCAAATATATTGAGATTCATTTTTCTTAATGTTTAATGTGGTAAAATATGCCAATGTTAATATTCCCAAAGATTTAAACAAATTCTTGCAAGATGCCCTATAGTGAGAACCAGTTATACATCTCACTATTTTCTTCTGAGTTATAGATACTTTCACAGTATGTGAGGCGTTTCCCCAAACAGTTAGTCCGTAGGTTAATAATGACGGTACCAGCCAAAAATAGGCTAACTTTAATACATTCAGAGAAGTTGTATTGTGAAGTTGTCTAAAGATAAAACAAAAACTGCTCATCCTTGAGACCACCTTGTCAATATGTCCTTCCCATGTAAGCTTCTGGTCTATATGTCTAAGAAGCAAAACCTGTTATTCGACAGAAAAATGCTTGTACTGTAAAGTTTTTAAAACAAGACTTATCCCCTTTTGCCTTCTAGCCACAGATATTATATGATAAACGTTTCTTTTACATTGTTTTTCTTTGGTTGCAATAAGTGTGGCCAAATTTAGTAATTAAAAATATAGGTCCAGTCTGAGAACATTTTGTAATCCAAAACATCAAGACCGGTTCCGTGATTAAAAAAAAATTCAATTTATTAAGTACATAAAAGTAAATTTACCTTTCAAAGAAAATAGATTCTTGCCCATTAATGGATCAACTTCTGCTGGAACAAAATCTCGATGTTCATTGAAATGCTCGAAATCTTTAATGACCATTTGCTTGATCAAGTTTGTATCTTTTACAACGAGCAGTTGCTTATTGAATTGATACATACCATGGTATCTACAAAAATTGTTCTAGGTTATGATTTTGTTAATAGGTATTTTAAAATGTGTTCAGCTTAAATGGTTATTTGTGTAAAGTTGATCATTTTCGACCGAATCAAAAATTTGCGGCTCAAGCCAAGCAACTTCTGGTGAGGCCAAAAAAGGTCATACCGCCGAGGTGCACACAACATTTTTTAGGCGACGTCTTTTTAAGCAGATTAATATTTTTTTTTTACATTCTTGTTTATGAAAAGATGATTAGATGCAAGAATTGTTTCAAATTTTTATTGATGGAATAAAAACCCATCGTTAAGTAATAAAATTTGTACAGAATTACTAACGATAAGTTTAATAAACTTATGTCTATAAAAGCAACCGTAAAGTAAATGAGGTCATAAAGTAAATGCGGCCAAAAAAGTGACCTTTAATGCGCCCCAAAAAGTGACATTTTAAAAATGTTAATAAATGTAAAATGTAATTTTTTGTTACAGCCTAAAAACTAAATACAATAAAGCATCGATAATCCGGACGTTAAAAATCCGGAATGTCTATAATCCGAATTCAATTCCGGTGAAAAATATTGTCATAAAATTCCTAAAGCCCACCCTGTGTACGCGCGACCTTGGAAGTCTGCCACTCGATTCATGATCCAAGCGACGCTAACGTGTGAAAACAGTCGGACCGCGTCTCGAATATGCAAGAAACGACGAAATCTTCGAGAAACTGCCGTTGAGTCATAGAGATGGAATTTTTCGGAAACACCCAGAAACGACGAGCACGGAATAGGCTTGGTATAAATAGCCGACTCATCGGCGCACAGTTAGTTTTAGTTTAGAGTACTGTAATGAAAAGTTAAAGTATAATAAATACATTAGAATTGTTAGTTAGTGTCTAAGTATTATATAAATTAAATAGTACTACATAAATAAATTGTAAATAGTGTGTTTTAAATAAATAAACTATAAATAAATTAGACTCTCGTAACAATATAATACATACATATTTGTCAGAATCGAAACTTGTGTACCAGTAACTTCCATAATTTGTCAGACAACAACTTCTGATAATTCCAACGACAAATTCGAGCAAATAACTGCAGTTGCTGGTCAATCTCTGAATCAATTAGAGAAGAAGAAAATAAAGGAATTTCTTCGATGATATCGTGACATTTTTGTACCAAAAGAAGGAAAAACAGGAAGAACTTTTGTTGTAAAACACAAAATTGACACTGGTGACGCCAGGCCGATTCGTCAATAAGCTCGAAGGTTACCAAATGCCAAGAGAAAGGAAGCTGAAAAGATTGTTCAGGAAATAAAGGAAGACAGGGTAATTGAACCTTCTACCAGTCCATGGGTCTCTCCGGTAGTCCTGGTCCAGAAAAAGGATGGAACTACGAGGTTCTGTGTGGATTACCGTCAGTTGAACAATGTTACCAAAAAAGACAGTTACCCTCTGCCTCGTATCGACGATACCTTGGACACATTGGCCGAAAGTAAACTATTCTTTACCTTAGACTTGAAGTCTGGATACTGGCAGGTGGAAATGAACCTAGTAGACAAAGAAAAGACAGCTTCTACCACCGGATTTGGATTGTGGCAATTCAATGTTATGCCATTTGTATTATGTAATGCCCCTGCGACATTTGAAAGACTTATGGAAAATATATTGAGAGGGTTATCCTAGAAAACATGCCTGGTGTATTTAGACGACATCATAGTCTTGGGAAAGACATTTGATGAACATCTAAAAAACTAAGAAGATGCTGCCCAACTGATGCTAAACCCCAAGAAGTGTCAACTATTTCAAAATAAAGTTAATTTCCTGGGTCATGTAGTCAGCAAGGATGGCGTGGATGTAGATAAGGAAAAAGTCATTTCTATCAAAGAGTGGCCACAATCAAAAGATAAACACCAAATAAGAAGTACTACCGAAGATTCATAAAGAAGTTTGCAGATATTGCTAAACCACTAACTCGACTCACAGAAGAAGCAAGAGCATTCTGCTGGGAAGAAGACTGCCAAACTGCCTTCGAAACTTTAAAGAAACATTTAACAACAGCGCCAATATTAGGCTACCTACTACCAGAGGGAGAATTTATCCTGGATACTGATGCCAGTAATGTGGGAATTGGAGGAGTGCTTTCACAGATTCAAGGGGGAAAAGAAAGAATACTGGGTTATTTTGTTAAAGTGCTCTCGAAACCTGAGCGAAATTACTGCGTCACGAGAAGAGAACTCCTGGCAGTTGTGAAATGCGTGGAACATTTCTATCAATACCTATATGAAAGAAAATTTTTAATCCGTACCGATCATGCTGCTCTTAAGTGGTTGATGCAGTTCAAATACTCGGAGGGTCAAATCGCCAGATGGATTAAACGACTTCAAGAGTACGACTTTAAGATCGAACATAGAGCCGGAATAAGCCACAGAAATTCCGATTCTCTTTCTAGAAGACCGTGTCCAGCAGAGTGCTCTCACTGCAACAAAGCGGAATCCAAAGAAAGTGGACTACCAAGAATAACGGTAGTCAACGATGAGTGGGCCCCTGCTAAAATTAGGGAAAAACAAGAGAACGATACCGTTCTAAAGAAGATGCGACAATGGAAAGAGGAAAATCGTCGACCTACTTGGCAAGAAGTATCTAATCTCTCTCCAGTACTTAAGTCGTATTTGTCTCAGTGGGACTCCTTTATCCTGGAAGATGACTTATTAAAGCGAGTGATAGTTCCGAGAACAGAAGACAGTTGGTCGTTCCAAGGAGTAGAGTAGCCGAAGTACTTCGTCAGTTACACGATAGTCTATCAGGAGGTCATCTCGGTGTTAGGAAAACCCTTCAGAGAGTTCGTGAAAGGTTTTATTGGATGAATATTTTTGATGATGTAAAGGACTGGTGTAAGAAATGTACCAGCTGTGCTATGAGTAATGGACCTCAGCGAAAAAGGAAGGCTCCCATGAAGCAATACATTGTTGGTAGCCCATTTGAGAGGATCGCCTTAGATATTGCCGGACCATTCCCCACGATCGAGAATAGTAATAAATACATGATGGTGGTCATGGATTATTTCACGAAGTAGGTGGAAGTCTACTCCTTTTCAAATCAAGAGGCCGCAACTGTTGCAGACGTATTGATGAAAGAGTTTATTTGTCGATTACCAAAACCGGCTGGCGCCATTTAAGGGTGACCATGAAGAGGACGAAGAAGTAAACCAGCTCCAAGAAACACCTGACCTTGTCTTTGAAGAATTTATTGGTGCATATGGAGGTACCGGAAAAGAAAGACATGTGGTGTTACAACCGAGCAACAACAAGACCTGCTCACGGTTCCAAAAGACTACTCGCTGGTCCATAGCACTTCCGCCAATATCTACGACGCTCGAGGTCTGGCATCTGTATTCCGGAAGAAGTTTGGTCAGTTACCAGCCCTTGGAAAAGCATTAAAACTTCTAAATGGATCGCTTTATCTTTTCTACTTGGTAACAAAGAACACCTTCCGAGATCGATTCACCTATCAGGATGTATGGGAAGCATTACTCAGTCTGATGGAGCATGTGCTGGAGTCCTATGTACAGAAACTAGCTATGCCAAAGATGGAGAGTAACCAGCTGAATTGGAGGATCATTAGGAACTTGGTAGAAGTAATTTTTCAAGATACCCAGGTTGAAATACTGGTCTGCAGCCATTCTCCCAGCGTTCAGGTTATAACGAAGACTGTGCCTTGTTATTTCCATGCAACTGGAAATTGTAAAAGAGAATCCAGTTGCGAATACAACCATTCAGTTTTAGTTCCAGGAGAAACTATTTCTTAAGGAGTGGGCAATATCATGAAAATCCTAAAGCCCACCCTGTGTACGCGCGACCTTGGAAGTCTGCCACTTGATTCATGATCAAAGCAATGCTGACGAGTAAAAACAGTCGGACCGCGCTCGAATATACAAGAAACTAAGAAATCTTCGAGAAACTGCCGTTGAGTCATAGAAATGGAATTTTTCGGGAGCACCTAGAAATGACGAGCACAGAATTGGCTTGGTATAAATAGCTGACTCATTGGCGCACAGTTAGTTTTAGTTTAGAGCATTGTAATGAAAAGTTAAAGTGTAATAAATAAATTAGAATTGTTAGTTAGTGTCTAAGTATTATATAAATTAAATAGTACGTCATAAATAAATTGTAAATAGTGTGTTTTAAATAAATAAACTATAAATAAATTAGACTATCGTTACAATATATTGAAGTGAATATACAGTGCTTTTCAGATAAAAGTATCCACCTTAAGTAACTTTTGAAGGACTGATTATTACAAAAAACAAAAAAATACGTCAATTAATATTCGAAGGGGGAGATATCGTGTCATATTTAAGTTTGCTAAAAAAGTCACCCTTTCACCCCTACTATCATCCCTTCAATTTTTTTAAATGGCTTGCCCCATTTTTTTATCCATTTTTGGATTGCTCTCGTTTAACTGATTTCAAAAATGTATAAAACATGGGGATTAAAGTAATTAGTTTATGATCTACAGGGTTCCATTATTTGAGTGACAAATTTTTACATCTCACCTTACTGACTGCAGCAAAATTGGATGGATGATAGTAGGGGTGAAAGGGTGACTTTTTCAGCAAACTTAAATATGGCACGATATCTCCCCCTTCGAATATTAATTGACGTATTTTTTTGTTTTTGGTAATAATCAGTCCTTCAAAACTTACTTAAGGTGGATACTTTTATCTGAAAAGCACTGTATACATACATATTTGTCAAACAAAATGTTTAAACTGTACAGTATTTTGTAAATACATATGGTACATTACAAACGTATTAATGCCCACAGACCTCATGGGACCTTTGCCTTGGTCTAATAAGGGTCATATATTTATTCTTGCAGTTACAGATTTTTTTCAGTAAATTTTCCCTTACTTACCCTCTTCGTTTGTCTAAAGCGCTTTTTGTCATGGAAGCAATTATTGAAGAGTATGTTTTTCTTATTTTCGGTGCCCGGGTCTGCTGTTATGCGATAACGGTGTCCAGGTCACTTAAAAAATATTTGGTAATTTGATGGATAATTATGGAGTTGAGGTTAGATATAACGCCCTTTACCACTCTTTTAATCGTACCCTCAAAACCATGCTAGCTTCCTATGTTTTTGACAACCATAGACATTGGGAATTGGGACGTTAATCTAGCGAAGGTCACTTGCAGTGAACAGCTTTTCATGAGTCAGGAGGAGAAAAGATTTCACTCACACTTAGTAATACATTCGATTTTCTCTGACGTGGTCAGTTATGAACTAAGAATAGAGCTCAAAATAAACTATTAATTTTGAGCTTTAAGCTTAAGGCACCCATTCACATCACTTTAAATGTAATGAATCTGTTTGAAAGGCATCCAAATTGATTTTCCGTTTAGAAACTATTCATTCTCAGTCACTCCAAATGGATTCGTGAATAATGTAGTTTTTTGTGTTGTGTGAATTACCTATTCATACAATGTATATAACGCAGACTGATACTAGAGTACGTTGGATGTTTGGGACACCTGGATATCCAGCAAACTATTACGCCACGCCTATACATTCAATGTTTAACATTCATTAAAGAAATTTGGAGAAAATTTGGACATTTTGCGTGCCTTACTTAATTAATAGTATATTATTCAGTAATTACCTGTTTCCAGGAAACTTTTGATACGTTTCATTGACGAACGTGGTTAATTCCTTTCGTTTAAATAATACAAAATAATTATGAAATAAAGCTGCCATTAAATTTGCTTGCGGTACACCATTTTCACGCCAATATGTCAGCGGTTTGATACAATAAAAGTATATCAAAGTAAGGAGTAGTATACCCACCAAAATAAATAACATTTTGGACCACCTGAAAAAAAAAAAATAGGATTAAAAACTACATACCTATTTCAATTTTATTTTTAAATCAAACAGTTTGTAGAACATAATTAATAATTTAAAAATCTGATGTGTCCAACACATGACTTTCCTATCTAGTTGTTATAGGCTTTTTCCGGTTATTTTGTACAACCTATTGCAGCACCTCTATAAACGTTTCGAGGATAAACTAAATATATACATTTTCCACATACATCTACCTCGAAACATTTTTCTATAGATATTCATTGAAAACGAAAATACTGAAAAATTTAAATTTAGCACTTTTCCTACAATTTTTCCATTACGGTCCATTTTAGAAAAATCATGTATAAACAAAAATTATAGAGATCGATATCGCAAACAACTTTTAGTCCAACATTTTCATAAAAATCAGAATTTTGCACATTTTGTCAAATTTCTCGAATACGGACCATTTTATGAAATTTTGACAAAATACAAAAATTATAGATAATAATATTATAAGTACCGTCAAACGGGGTGAATCAGGACTAAGGGGTCAATCGGGACAGTATGACGTTTATTTACAAACACGTGATTTTTATGCTTGTAGCCAATGTTTTTAGGACGGGTAATATGAAAAGCCTATTGCAGAAACAAAGAGGTTAGAAAGGATAGAGGTAACATAGGAAGCATATGCCGCTGCGCGAATTTTGTCAAAACCGAAAAACTGGGTGGAAGGAGTAGGGAGATATTCTGGGCCGGACTTAAATATTTGTACCTAATTTTAGTAGGTAACTAAAAGATGAAAAATTATGAGACGTTTTTTTGACTTTATTTTTTAGCACCATTTATTTATGATGAGGGCAATAACACTTTATCAATATATAGTTAGCTAAAGGTCGATTTCACCGTTGTGTCAAACGAAGTTTAAATTACTAAACGGAGATTAAAATGATATTGTTAATGTAAAAATGTCATTTTAATCTTCATTTAGTAATTTAAACTTCGTTTTTGTTAATATAAAAATGTCATTTTAATCTTCGTTTAGTATTTTAAACTTCGTTTAACAAAACGGTGAAATCGACCTTAAGTAAAAGTTTATAAAATTATTGTAACAAAATGTTGAGAGACAAAAAGTTATCGAAACAGCCAAAGTACTTTTTGTTCGAATTACACACAAGATTTTTTCTACGATCACACCAAAATAAAATAAATAATTAAATTTTATTAGAAATGGGTTACCTTTTCGTTCGTTATAATATTTAACATAAGCCTACTCTTCGAAGAGAAAAAAATGTTTTGGTACTTATATGCCGGTACCTAATTATTTATGATTTAATTATTTACGAAAAATAATGTTCAATGATTTAAAATATTAGGAAGTCAATTAATAGCTATTTATGTAACCAGTTCATTTTGCGGGACCCCGCTCCGCTCGTTCCGCAAATATTTACTCGTTACACAAAATAAGGCATTTCGTAACGTGTTTACATACAAGATTTTTTCTAATTTTGACTTGATTATTTATAAAATTGTGTTGAAAAACGATTCACAATCATTCTTTTGTAGGTACTTCCAATCAAATATTTCACAAAATTATTTAGTCCAGGATCCGTAAGTAAGGTCGATCTTCATCCATCTGTTTACCGTATGAAAGTTTCTTTTTATTAAATAAAATATGTTTTTATATATATCGCAAAGGGGTTGCCTAAAAAAATACGGTCACGGCAATTTTTTGCTTTCCTTTCTGTGTACAGATGAGGAAAGTATAGGAATCATGATAAAAGTTGCTTATGATGTCATTCTCTATTATTTTGTCCCTATACATGATTTCCCTAAAATGGACCTAATTCGAGATATTTAAGAAAACTTTGCAAATTTCGAATTTTGAAGACAACTCAAAAACTGATAAAGAGAAAAACACCAAATTTTAAACTTAGGCTTTAATCTATCATGCAGTGAGCTGATTAAAGTTTGGGCATAATCGAAGCATCTGGTAAATACTTTACACAGGGTGTTGTTTTTTTATTTTTAGAAAATAAATACTCTGGACCGTATTTTCTTAGGCAATCCTTTCGCGATATATTTATAAACATATTTTATTTAATTAAAAGAAACTTTCATCCGGTAAACAGATGGGTGAAGGTCGACCTTATTTCGGATCTTAGACTAATTGTATTTGATTGCCCAATCTGATTTGTAACATTACCCGTGAGAAATTTGAAAAAAAAAGGTTTTTACCCATTATCCTTAAAGGAGTACGTCAAAATTTTACCCCCAACATTTCTGGGCAGTTTTCAATAACGGTGTTCAATTATTTAAAAAATAAAACGCAATTTACAACTTTTCTTTTTTTGTTTTCTTTTTTTAAACGTAATGTCATATTTTCAAATGTGAAAAGTCATTATTCATTGCCCTTTTTTCAATTTTTGGTTTTTTCGATTTTTCGTTTTTTGGATTTTTGGATTTTTCGATTTTTTATTTTACGATTTTTAGATTTTACAATTACTCGAATTTTCGATTTTTCGATTTTTCGATTTTTCGATTTTTCGATTTTTTGATTTTTCGATTTTTCGATTTTTCGATTTTTCGATTTTTCGATTTTTCGATTTTTCGATTTTTTGAATTTTCGACTTAAAAACCAAAAAAGAGGCAGATTTATTTATTTTCATTTCGTAACTGGTGACATAATCAACTTTTCGTAATCAGTTGCATAATGTTCTACTTTATGTAACTGGTTGAATAAAGTAGATCGTTTTGACACTAGCTGCGATTACAAAATATATTACTTTATATGTCAAAATTAGAGAAAATAAAATGTAAATAAATGGATATTAATATAGATATTATTATAGAGCAGTGTTTCTCAAACTTTTTTTGGGGTATACCTATAGCTGGGTTAAAAATAGTTACCTGAGGTAAGTGAACTGTAACTAGGATACATAAATGTCCATTAAATTTATTTAAGCTAAAAATTATTGCAAGGCCCCCTCTTTCAATTTGGGAATATTTTTGTTCGTACTTTGATAAGGTACGCGATGCAGAAGCTATAGGTTTCTCAATATTTTTTTCAAAAACATGACATATCATGGCTCTTATTCCCAAATTTGATGCATCTACGATCATTTGTTGTTAATTTATTTTTGATTAATTCCAAAGATTCTTTGCAAGGATTATCCCAAATCCATTTCACCCATAAAAAATAAAATAAAAAAAGTCCTCAAGCAAAATCATATCCTCCTTCCTCTTAGTGACTTAAAAAAATTACTTCTCAAGAAAAGGTCCTCAAGCCAGGTCCCTTCATTTTGTGGCGATAGTACTGTTTTTTTTTTAATTATGATTATTTTCTTCGCGGAGCCCTCACAAAGGCTTTGCGAAGCCCCAGGGCTCCGCGGAGCACACTTTGAGTAGCACTGTTATAGAGAAATACTAAATAAATAGTTTTGAAAAAACTATTGAAACCAGTTGTGAAGTTTGAAACTAATAAATTGGCAATGAAATTGATATTTTTGTATTTGATTGTATGTTACTCTTTCCGCTTCCTAAAAAAAGATTCCCCATGAAACAAGTAAACAGTTTATAATAATAACCTTGGGGGTGGGTGGCTCAGTGGTAGAGTCTCTGCCTGTGGATCCAAGGGTCCCAGGTTCGAATCCCACCGTTGGCCGGGATTTTTTTATTTAATTTAATTATTTAAAATTAATTCTGATGCCTTGGTAGGATTCCCCACTCGACCATTCACTGTTGGGTTCTAATTAACAGTGCTGTTCCTAAAGTGGCGCTGGGAAACAGTAACAAAGCCTATGCAGAACACGAGGCTAATGACCTTAGCAGTCGATGCCGATGACACCAAATTAATTATAACATGTACCAATGACCAAGTCCGATTCTGTTTATTTTCAAATCAACAAATATGGACGTCGACAGAATCTTTAAAAATTAAATATCTCACCGAAATAAATGTAAGTTTCTTTTATCTCCGTAACATTTCGCACTTTTATTATAAATAAAGCTTTTTCCAACACATCTTGGCATTTTCAACGTTAATTTCCAAAATTTAAGTCACTAAAATACCAAATTAATTCTCGTTGACACATTAAATTTGAATGGACAACGCTCGTACATGTGATGTTCTCAACTGTGATTGGCGGGTGTGAATAATTTCGAAATGGGATTATGCGCAGTGTCTTATGTTCCATCTAAGGTTTGTATAATCTAAGTGCAGAAACCACAATCGTTTGACCTTCGTATGTCGCCGTCAGTTAATTCGCAACGGTTCATTGGTACAGGTGTCAAAATATTGCAGTATAATTTTACGTTTTTAAAACCGGCTGAAAACTTCGTTTGAAAAAGGTATTTATTGTAGGATTTGAGTATTGCATTTTTAATATAGTATACCTGTGGGTATTTTCTAGATGTTAAGTAGTCTTTGAATAAATTATTTTGTAAAGTTTTTTTATTATTAATTAATGAAAAAAACAAATCACTTCTAGGGGTGAATCGGGACGATGGTCCGAAAATACAAAAGAACGCCTGGGACTAGGTTTTACCAAAATTATAGTAAAGAGCAGTTTGAAACGGCTTTGAGGCAATTTAGAAGAGGCCAAATAACCCTTCGAGAAGCAGAAGAGTTATATAATATACCAAGATCGACGCTACAACGACATGCTAAAAAGAAGCCAAAGAAACATGGTGGGCAAACTATTTTGTCAGAAGGTGAGGAAAGTAGGCTAGTGCATTTGATAGTATTGGCGGGAGAGTGGGGATACCCGTTGGAAAAAATTGATATTCGATACATCGTTAAGGCATATCTTGATAAAAAAGGAATAAGAGTGGCAAAATTTAATAATAATATGCCCGGTGTTGATTGGGCGAATTTGTTTTGTTTGCGTCATAAAGAATCACTCACTGAAAGACTCTGTGAAAATATTAAACGAGCTCGGGCAGCAGTGTCTCGGGAAATATTAAATAAATATTTTGACCACCTCCAAGAAAACTTACAAAACATTGAAACTGAATCCATCATCA